TTCTGTATGAACATTCTGAAATCTGCTTACTGTGAGGCACAAGCATCTTCGGACCCAACCAAAGCAGCCGCTGCTTGTCGAGTCTCGGGAAAATGTTGCGCTCTCTCGCAGTTCGTCATAAGGGGCGCCGTAGTAATGTTCCGTTTCGGCGGGAAAATTAGGATGGATGTTCCTCTCCTCACCCGACATAGGGAAACCAGGAAGAGGTATGTTGCCAGACATTTCTTGGTTCGTTCACGTTGTTACGTATTAGCTATCTGAAATCAGGACATTTATAAAGCAACTAACAAAATGTCACGTGTATGAGTGACCATAGACGCGGTTAGGATTTGTGAATAGATCTATTGAACAACTACAGGTCGTAACTAAAAATAACTAGGAATAATATCATCACTGACTTACACAATTCAAAATCACTACGTGCTAAGTTTTCTTAGTTTGCTTTTTCACTTCATTTCATTAAATGACATACCACAAATCCATTACAAGGTCATAGAACCCCGGATAAAGTCAGTAGTCCATTATAACAAAACAGTATATGATATAAACAAGTATGGTTCATTATGAATTAGGAATAAGAGATATAGTCTAAATATAAAATTTACAAGTCGCTTTTGAATGCCTGATAATTTAATATGTAGTTCCACATACAATTTGAACGAAGATATTAAAAGTGCATNATACCATTATTTAAAAATTACTCTAATTATAAAATGAATATAAATGAAGAAACTGTAATAAGTGTAATAATAACCTGGAGACTGGGAACCCTTCTGAAATATATAAATTTAGATTTGATAAGGGAAGAAGACGATGAGCTTTTTCCAAGAATTTATGTTATCGAATTTTATGCCCAAGAATTTTACCTCATTTGACTCTAATAAAATTGTATTTTTATATGTAATATTTAATTTGTAAGTAAAATTTTGTTTAGCTAAGTTATGCACTCTGCAGATATTGTCATATTTTAAGGAAAGCATGTTTAAATTAATTAATTCATTCATTAATCTAACCACTATATTGAGTTTCCTTTCCAGATATATAAAAATTAATTCACTAATTATTACCCTCATATCCCAGGTAAATAGCACAGCAGAAGTGTTCCATGTGTCAGAACAGGGGATAAATATTTGTAAGTTATTTATATAGTTAGAAATTACAACGGTCCAAAAATCTCTCCTTGTGGTACACCTATATTTCTTCATCCCAAATTTGAAAATTTATTGCTGAATTTTTGACCTTTTCTTATATATTTTATAAATACGACTTAATTAGAGAGTATATCACGCCCATTACCACAATAGTATTCCTCACCTGGTAATGAATTTTAACGAAGAAGGTTCTCACAGTTCTGATGATATCAAATAGTGTGAAGCACTGGATATATTTCTTTAGACTTATCAATAGAAAACACGTCTCCAACAGTTTGCATATTGTTGATTACCTAGCAATAGCCAAGATATCTATAACCAAGCAACGAAAGTTTCTTCAAGCAGTCGTTGCTGGGGTTACCATTATAAACATTAATAACAAGACACTGCGGACACTTCTGAAATGCTGTTTGATTTGATAAGGGGAAATTTAAATTCGAACTAATTCTTGATATTATCTCGTAAATATCAGAATTTTCTGTAAACAATTCAATGTTATTAACAATAAATATCACAAGGGAATACATATATTGGGAAGGCAGTGGTAATATTTTCAAAAGGCTAAATTTTTTTTTGCATGAAGCTCTTTTTGAAACTCCCACCTTTATTCGAATAGCTCTCTTCACAAATTTAGAATCACTCATACTATGAGTTCTGTCTCCCCCAAAAAACAAACACAAACACATTAAAGAGTGGAAAAAGGATAATACACAATTTTGTGGGCTTAAATACATAAGTATTCTTTGGATTTCCTGATTATATAACAGTCTTTATTTAATTTACCTATGTTTGAATCGATATGCTTTTTCCATGAAATAATGTTATCTAGTTTTACACAAGAACTTTACCATATTTGACTCTAATAAAATTGTATTTCCATATGCAATATTTATTTTGTTAGTAAAATATTGCTTAGCTAAGATATGCACACAGCAGATATTGTCAAAATATAAGGAAAGCATGTTTAAATTAATCCATTCATTCATTAATCTAACCACTATATTGAGTTTCCTTTCCAGATATATAAAAATTAATTCACTAATTATTACCCTCATATCCCAGGTAAATAGCACAGCAGAAGTGTTCCATGTGTCAGAACAGGGGATAAATATTTGTAAGTTATTTATATAGTTAGAAATTACAACAATCCAAACCCCGTCTATAGTCACACCCTATCACATGACATTATTATCCTAGGTCTCCTAGATGATTTTTTTTTTCCGTGATGAGAAAATGATTTTCTTCCTCCTAAACGCGAAGTTGGAGAAGCACCCTATGTCGATTAGCCCCCATTTGTTGTTCAGTCCACCCAGTAAAATGTAAATGTAAAGCTACCCCTGTGACAGGCTGTGGAGGCCCACACGGTTTTGAGACGTCGAGGCTCCCACGTTTTCCAGACAATCGGCTCACAAAAGCCTGAGAACGCAGAATGCCACAGTAACAGTGAGCCATGGTTCAATGTCTGATGTTTCTCTTGAAGATTTAAATATATTTCGTTAAATGGGTAGAGCAAAGGTTCTCAGACTTTGTGCTTCCTCTACCTCCCTCCCCCATCTCTGTCGGTCAGTGTCCCTACGCCTACAGCTATAACAATATTCCTGTACCGCCATGAAAAGTGCAGCCAGATTCCAGAGGTTCTGACGATTGTGTCTAACACTCGGAATTGCTGGGTTTTCGAGCTTTGTCCATATTCCGGTATTCTAAAAACACCAGAGAACACAACTTTCTCACACAACCGAGTAGGTATCTCCCTCCTCACCTGAAGACAGAAACATATCCAGTTTCCGAAACGTTGTATTCTCTGGTGTTATTAGAATACCGGAAGAGGGGCAAAGCCCAAAAACCCAGCAATTCCGATTGAAAAATGCAGTTCTACACATTGTTGCAGATCCTTATCAGGCTGTATGTTGGTAGCAGGAACCTAAATAGTTTTACAACCCCTCTACACCTATAGTACTGTATTCCAATACAGTCGCAAAACAATTCTGTAAAAGTTTCTCTAGCTGCAGATAACATTTTGCGAAACCGTCTATATTCAATCTTACTCACTTGCCAAAACTGTCCGTCGATTAAATTTATTTTAAATAATTATTAATAACTTCGCTTTCCCTGTGGAAAAGATCGCAAACCCTTGTGGAGGTCGCGACCCACAGTTTGAGAGACTTTTAGGGGAATGTTGAAGGAGGGAAGGGGAAGTCGAGTAGGGAGGGCATGTAAGTACAGTGCCACTATACAAACTGGTGCTGCAATCTTGCGCGAATTGAAGAACTAAGTTCATGTAGGCCACGAATGCTGTGGCTGATCCGTGGATGGCATTGTCTGTTAGCTACCGTTTCTTTGGTGATATGTTGGCGGTCGTTTACGAAGTGGGTTGTTTTCGTTATAAGGCGATTTATGTTTTACGGAAGTCTGTTTCTAAAGGAAAGCTGGACGTGTGTAAATCGCGGTTCGGTTTGTTGCCTTCGAATGTACATGATTTTATACTTGGTTTGAATACCGTCAGTTAAGTTTGTCAACATAAACTTCAGTTACTTGGATGCAGCAAAGGTACTATAATGATAGGCCCAGCGGGACATAGAACTGTTTGATGCAGTACTATAAATGGTATTGTTAGCGCAAGAGGTTGTGCATAACAGTGATTCATATAACAAGTCATGTGACCGTAAATGTTATGAGCCCACATTTCAATTATTATTTTGACAAATTGATATTTTTGTAGAAAGAAGTTTGAAAAATTTTCGAACACCAAAAATTTCAGAAAACAAGACAGTATCTGACAGTTTCCACCCTTACGAGTACTGTTTCAAAACGAATACTTATACATACAAAATTTCTAGTCATGGTGATACAATTAAATACGTTGCATTGTGGATTCATCGTGTTTAATGGATCCGTTGTGATGATGCGGTATCCCCTCCAAGATATGTAAAGCCGCCAGTAGTTGACACGCAAGTCTCAGTAAGTGAGAGAAGACTGAATGTAACTGTATGAATATGAACCCTCTTCCTTCTGTTGTGAGTTCCCTTGGTAATTTAGAATGAAAAAGTGCTAAAGGATGTATATGTAGATCTAATCTAACCTTGCTTAACATAACCTAGTAGTAGTAGTAGTAGTAGCAGCAGCAGCAGCAGTGGCAGCAGTAGCAGTAGTACATAAAAGGTGATGGGCCTAACTGCTGGCCTTTGCAGTGTTACCATCTACTGTGCATGCTATTTTATTTTAACTTTTCAGCAATCATACGCTTCAAATGCAGTGTAGGATTATACTATTTTACTTACAGGGGCGTCATGATAGTCATCTGGTTCCATAAAGTAATGTCCCGGGTGCCGGAACCTTAACTAAACTGTGGCCTCACACTCACATAGAATGTGTGTGTGTGTGTCTGAGGGGCTTCTTCTGCAAATAAGACTACCAATCCAATTTTTAAAAGGTGTCCTTTTAGGTGACAGTGTTCTGTAAGTTGTCCTGCCACCTACCATAGCTGGTTTCTGTTTGATTTTAACAGTTCCTTGGTTCTTCTGGTAGAACATCCTTTGCCTGTTTGATTCCTGTTGAGGATTCCCAGTGTTTCTTATGGTCTCTGTTTGCCTAGTCCCTGACAGCTTTCTTGACATCTCCTACTGAGATGTGACACAGTGGTTCAGGTCCTCTAAGCAGATGTTCAGATCCCAATTTTGCCAGTTGGTCAGCAGTTTCATTTCCAACAGTACCCTAATTTTCCAGTGCCCGTATCAGTTTAAGTAACCTAACATACCCTGACCTACAATAAAACATGTAACTATGTCTTTAGCACGAAGCTGGTATCACAGTTGGGATATGTCAGTTAAAGTTATGTTGAAATGTTAACAGGAAATCCATGGGACTGCAGCAATGACCTCATGTGGCTGGTTGACGAAGGCCGCAATGAGTCTATGGCACGCCGTGTGGTGGATCGTGACAAGATGATATGTAACAATGAGACTTATCCCAAGAAACCAGTACTGCCCATTATGGGCATGCTCAAGGTAGTTAATTGATAAGTTGGACAGGCCTTTTTATAGTTGATTATAAAGATTTTGTAACTGTTGGGATTGCTGGGTTTTTGGATATTACCCAGCATTCATTCCCTCATCAGGGGACGGAAACAGATGCAGTTTCCAAAACAGTGTGTTGTTCAGAATACTGGATGATGGACAGAGTCAAAAAACTTAGTAATCCTGAGGTCCTTTTCTGTGTGTTGTAGGTAAGAAAGGTAAAGCTATCCCTGTAACAGGTAGTGGAGGCCCATAGGGTTGTGAGATGTCGAGGTTCCCACATTTTCTAGACAATTGGCTCACATATGGTGGTGAGGTTGTCAGTCTTACGCCCCAGCTGCCCTTTACCCCCCCCCCCAGGAAGATTCCTAGTACTCATTTCTGTTAGAGGCTGAGTGAACCCCAGGGCCATAGTGCAGCTGGAAGGATTAGGTCCATTGAGAAATCCAGTGACCTCATCTGGAATCGAACCCATGACCTTCTGGTGTGCAGGATAGTGCCTCAACCAACTTCACTACCGCGTGCTCCCATGTGTTACAATGTTACATAATTAAATGTAATTAATTTATCACCATTTCATACGAAGGCTGGTAAAATTCTACCATGCTACATGGCATCATATTCTACAAAATGTAACTCTTGAGGACTTGTTTCTGTTCATAACAGACATTACAGGCAGAGTGTCCGACAGTCCCACCAGCGAACTGTACTTGTCACATGGACTATGTGGCTCCAGACCCAGATGGAGTTACATTGCGGCCTGTCACCACCATCAACTGCAGCTATCGGGGCCTTGTCAGCCTGCCTGAGCGGCTGCCCTCAGTGACGACAACCCTTCTCGTGAAGGGAAATCAGGTGCAAGCTCTCTGTCATGTAGGGATATAGTGGGGAGGGGAACTGTGGTGTAAGGGGTGCCCATGGCTAGGCCCAGAGCCTCATGGGGGCCCTCCCTCTGTCTTCATGCAGGCAAGACATAACTATAAATATTGTTAATTTTGTCAACATATCTTCTTGACCAAAATCATGAATGTAAAATGTAAACTGCCAACAAGAAGAGGATACACATATAGACACCCAGACTGATGGGAGGGATTTATGAAGTATGGCCTTGAGATGGGTTCAGATGCCATGATGTACATACCGAGTTTCATAAAGATTGGTTCAGGCTTTCGAAAGTTGATAGGGAGAGATACACAGGCACTCAGACTGCATGGAGATGACATAAGCCTACTATTATTTTTATTTCGAAATAAGGAAAGTAGCTAAAAATAAAAACATTGTCATGATTTTAGAATGAATGTAGACAGGGTTTGGATTGGTAATTTGATTTGTTGGACACTTACATATTTGTAACTACAGACAACTGTGGCAGTCTCACTGACTTTTATTGTTCCTTGCATCCTGTTGTGTACTAGACGAATGTTAAAGTTAATCTACCGACCACACAACACGTTTTTTATTTACTGCCACACTACATGTTTCGACCTCAGGAGGTCATCATCAGGTGTACTGAGTTACGCACTCCACCAGCCATTGCCTGGGGACGGATCCCAACAATGCCCTCTACTTCCCTGCTCATGTTCTTACTGGCTGGTGACTGCCTCACAGCTCACTCATTGCTCCAATTATCGAATCTCAACCAACTCACTTTCACTAACTGTCATTCTTATACCATCTCAGCATGGACTGCAGAGAAAATGTTTTTCCTCTATTGCTGTTTCCAGTTGTTGCCGTGCAGACATGTTTGTTTGTGAAGCCATTTCTCAGTAACTGTTGTTGTATAGCTGCTTCTTTCGTGATCGTTAACTAGCAACGGGTCTGCGTGCCACAGTATAAAAAGAGAAGAGAACCTACAGTAAAATTGTGACTTCAGAAACCTTGATTTTATTTTGTAATTATATGCCAAATATTTCTGTCTTTACAAACATTGCTCTATTTGACAGTATATGACCTCTGCTGGTATTTATATGAGCTATATAATCAAGAAACGTTTGGATGATATTTCTTTTTGTATGTTTGAAGGGCTTTTATTTTGTTGTAGGAATTATAGCTGGTGCTTCCAGGGTTAAGCTAGGCATGAAACCAAGTAGTGTTTTCCCTTGAGCCAGCTTCCTCAATAGCCCATTTTCATTCCAGACAGTAATCATACACGTGTACACGTAACAATGCTGTAGATTTGTGACAAGGTGCGCGAGAAGTTCGGCCCTGTAGAGTGCAATTTTCTGCTTACAGATCTCAAGTCTGAAACCTTTGGTCAGCAACCCACACTACAGGGATGTTTTGGATGTGTTCCTGGATGATAACCAGATTCATTCTATAGAATCTCTTGAGGGTGCTGATTGGTTGTTGAACTTCAGAGTGTTAAGCCTGAGAAACAACCAGCTAACTCAGGTGCTAACTTATGCGCTAGATAACGCTCTGCAGCGAAACCGGAATGCTGCCATCGTCTACCTAGGGAACAATCCTTGGATCTGTGATTGCTTGTTTACTCCTACCTTCCAGGTGAGAACAGAATATATGTTCTCTTCCGGTGCTCTTGTGGTGTGGTTGAGTTGTATACATTTAAANACCAATTAACGATCTCCACGGCGTCTTCGGTAACGAAACACGTTACAATATATTTTGTGTCTTTGATCTTGCTTCCCCACACTACAGCGATGTGAGTGTTATACACCTGATGATGGCCGTCTGAGGCCGAAACATGTAGTGTGGGGAAGCAAGATGAAAGGCACAAATATATTGTTTGCACTTGAGACGGAGTTTATATCATTTATTTAAATATATCTTTTATATTCTTTTACCTTTCCATTTATAATGCAACAGATTAATAACATTATTTCACATTTAATTCATACATTGATCATTAAATTCATAAAATGTTACTAGAATTATTAAAATATATATAAATATGTTGCAGTTATGCTGCTACATGTTTCGGCCTTACAAGGCCATCTTCAGGCAACACTTATATAAGGATTCTAATTCACTGTACGCTAATCATATTGCATTCCCAAGATACATCATCGATGTTCCTTCATACCTTTTTAATCTTTTTGAATTGTGACTATTTCTGTGTTTTATTAGATGTGTTGTTTTACGTTGTGCATATCAAGTATTGCCATGCATATAATATTGTGTAAATCCATATTCTCCTTGGAGACTTTTTTTATATTTCAGGACTTCATTATCAAGTACAGAAAACTAGTCAAAGATATTGATGATGTGAGATGTGCCTCTGTTCATGGAGACGAGAACTCCTTAACTCAAGTGAGCACTGAATGTGAATTTGAATTTATTTACAATCCGTAAATTAAAATACATGTTGACACCATAGGATATGGAACAAGTAGAGTACAAATACATGATATCTGTACGATAATAGTTCTGCTTGAGAAGTTAGTTATCGTAATATGCCATGCCAATTGGATACACACAGCACAGTCTGCAAACAAGCAAAATGATACAGTAACATGGTTGGGAATACACTTCAGCTTAGAACTGATACTAGTTACTGTGAAACTGATATTTGTTGTGTTGTGACAGTTAATAAAGAAGTTGTATATCATAACAGGATGCATGAAATGAAAATTGATTTATTTGTATATCATTTTTTAATAATATGCAAAAATGATGTGTAAAGGATAGTTTGGTGGTTTTTGGAACAAACTTGTGATTGAGTGATTGAGGTTAGCAAGTTCTAACAGACCCACCCTCTCACCTGAGGAAGGAAGCAGACTGCTGGATGATGGACAAGGTCTAACAGTGCAGAATCTGCTTGCGGTTGGCTGTTTGCAAGTACTATCCCAGCAGTCTCACTCACTCAATCACTGTCACCAGAATCAGAAAGTTGAACACTCCTGCCATTGAACATGAAACAGATCCATCAGGCTTCCTAACATCCATCTTTATGTCATCCTCCTGTCTGCTTCTCAGCCCTCAAAGTGGATATTTTCTGAAAGGTTTCCCCACAGAAATTCTGTATTCATTCCTTGGGTCCCCAAGCTTTGCTGTGGCTGTGCCATAGCTCAAGTGGTTAGTTGCTGGCTTCTCACCGTGGCAGACCGGGTTCAAACCCGGGTCTGGTCAAGTGGGATTTGTGGTGCACTAAGTGGCGCTGGGGTAGGTTTTCTCTGAGTACTTCAGTTTCCCCTGCCAATGTTCATTCCACCAAAAGTTCTCCATCGTCATAATCACCTGGGGCATGTATGATAGGCCAATCAGTGGCCACCGTGCTGAGTGGATCCAATCGAACTCCACCGCCCCAATCAGTCTTCCATCCTCAAAGCATATTTTCCTAAGATTCATCTTTATGTCATCCTCCTATCTGCTTCTCAGCCCTCGAATTGGATATTTTCTGAAAGGTTTCCCCACAGAAATTCTTTATTCATTCCTTGGGTCCCCAAGCTTTACTGCATATTCATTCTGTCATAGCCTCATAAATGTCACTACCCTAACAATACCAGGTGACCTGTATAATTCTGTCATAATATCCAAAATTAAAGGGTTGTCAGAAGAGTGAAGACAGTTCGTGCATAGCACTTGTATACATGTCAACGAATTGCACCATTTCAAGGTTAACAGACCTCAGTAGTCTCTTAGTAACAAGCCAAGCGAATGACATGCTGATTCTATCATTTCACGATTTTTTGTAATATTTAAAAATGAGTAAGAAAACCCAAGAATTCCGCTAATTGTGAAGTGCCATCTGTAATTTTGTTTCTGAATCCTGACTTTGCATGGGACGTTTTCTTCCATCCTCCCTAAAGTCCAGACCTGGCTCCAGATAATTTTCACTTGTTCACACATTTCAAGCACTTTCTGGGTGGCACGCATATGCGTAACGATCAAATGAAGATGATTAAAACTGGTTGAGTGGACTGGTGGCACATTTCTATAATGCAGGAATACAGAAACTCATCACATGATACGACAAGTGCCTGAATATTCATTGGGATTCAATAGAAAAATGATTTAAGGTCTGTAGTAATTACATACATTTTTTTATTTTATTCATTTTTTCATATTTATCACCAAACGGTCTCTACTGTCTGGATGACCTACATATATTCCCAACCTATCGTACCCTCCTGCACTTCACTGCCGGAACAGCCCCAGGTGACATGTGTAAACCACACAGTTCCTTGTTTCATAGCATCATAAATACGTCGCTTTGTTCATCTTCTTTGCCTACAGTAATTTCCTGTAAATCTTGCAATTTCATACACAGTAGTGCGATGGTTGGAAGCTGACATTGTCCCTCCAAGATTTGAAGTTTTAGGTAATGATGGCAGATAATGTGGTTTTCTGAGTAAAATGTTATGCAACCTTGTAGGTGGGTGCTGGCATACCATATTGGCACATTGTATGAATAAAATCGATCTTTGTGACAGAAGCGAAGCTTTCAAGCTTTCACAGTGAATAAAGCCCCCGAAGTGTTCATGAGCTATCAAGCACTCGAAGAAGCAATTCGTTTCCAACGTTCCGGTAACTGTCACTGTCTCCATCATCAGGGTGGTAATGGGGGCAGTGGCAGTGGCAGTGGCCGAAACTGAAATCTGTTCCACCTTCACATGGCAGCTACTCAAGAAAACTTCATTCTGTGATGGAGACAGATGTTCCTGCGAAGCATTTATACTCACCTGCAAGTTGTCATTGTATCATAACGTACGAATCTTCACTGCTCTGAAAACTTCAGATCTCATAAATTTTCATGAACATGAATATGAAAATTATGGTCTTCCAGGATGTGACACTGTATAATTTGGTTAGTGGGTACCTATCTGCTAAACTACACTTAGAATAACATCCATTATCTTTTTCTTGTGAATTTGATAACAAAATTGTCTGTTAAGTCTGAAGCCAGTTTTTCTTAATATTCTACAGATCCAGGCTCTATCCCGAAGCACTGTTTGCCGTGAACCCAGCGAGTATTTAATTCAACCATTAGACTTATTAAATGGAATATTGGCTTCTCTAATTGTTCTTGTGGTTGGGAAGCTCATATATGATTACTGGTCCTTCAAGAAGACTGGGAAACTCCCGTGGCTGGTAGCCAAGATGCCGTGAGGATTGGACATCTTGCATTCAAAGGAACTGGTAAGTACTGTGATCATGAAAAATTTTGATCTCAAGATTGTGTTGAAGTTATGTGTTTTTTTGGACTCCTGATTATGTAGAGTGGTTTCTGGAATACTGCCTTGCTAGCATCTCATTGGTTGGATGGATTTTAATTGTATTTGGTGTTTAATCGTTTATCCATCATAGGTCAGTGCCCTTTGAATATGAAGATTCCAAGAAATAGGGTCCCTTCAGATGGCCCCCCCCCCAAAATGACAGTTTTTTTGACAGTAGCTCTGATGATTGCATCTGATTGCATTTCAGTAATTTACTGAGACCATCTCCCAAAGTAAGGCATCTTTAGGAAAATAATGCCATGACCTCTAGCGGCCTAGAGATGAAATGTCAGTTTTCTTGAAAATGGCTTGATCAGTTTTATTTAAATTTTAATGACCAAAATGATGTTTTATTGGCTGAAACATCCTGTGCATGATGGGTTATCTTAAGGTAGCAGAAGGCTGTGACGCACCAGGCACACATGGCAAAGTATGTGCATTGTCTTTGCAGTCATGTCGTCTGCTCACTCTCCGCGTTCCCTGTGTTCTTGTCCTTATCATGACCATCGAGCATTTCACCTTGGCAGCTTGTTGGTTCATGTTCTGTTTCTTAGCTGCATAACTTGGTGCGAAATATCATTTATGGAAAATGATTTTTTACTTCCTTTATAAATTCATTCCATTGTTTATTGTTATACAAGCTCTCCCACTGCTCAAAATTCTCTGTTAGGGGGCCCATACACAATTACGAGTCTGGCTTACAAGTCCGACTTGGCTTGGGTTCCAGTGAGCCTAACTCATCCGTGTGTGGGTCGCCACGCTCATACATGCGTCGTGAAATTAATCCGAACCCGGCTCCTCACCGAGCCGGACTTGCGAGCCAGACTTGTATGTCTTATTCCCTCATCTGGTAATTATCCCTGAAACCCAGTTTTCCTTCATAGTAGGTACAAGAATTTACCTATCGTGTAGGTGATTACTATATTTTTTGGCAGCCCTAGACCACTGGGCTTTGAATTCACCCTAAGGCCTGGATGTGTATATATGTTTCTTGTCTTCTTGCGCATTACAGTGTCCCTTGTTTGGGGTTCCACCATGGCCTACCCCATTATGCAAATAGAAAATGATTCTTAAGACTTCGTGGAGTATGGAAATCTTAAGTAAAATGGACTGGGCAGAAAATTTCTACTAATTTTCACAAATGCCCTTTCCTCAATAATAAACTCTCATAATACTGAAGCTCATCACTTCTAATCTTCCGTCTGTAACGCAAAAATATCAATATAGGTTTAGATGACACTAATCAACATTTAATTCTCTAAAATGTTCATTAGAATGTTTAAAATGTCATAGAACTGTATCACTCACTCATGGAGCTGAACCCTTCTCAAAAAGCCGCCAATTGTGCAGCTACTCAAGAACCTCCCAGCATTTTATGGAACCCAAAAGTTCATTACTGTGTTCACAAGAGTCCTCCACTGGCCCCTATCCTGAGCCAAATCAACCCAATCCCACAGGGCCATCCTCAGGCAACATACTTTTAAGGAATCCACCGCAGTGTGCACTTTGTCAGTAGTACTCTTAAAGTATTTTGCTATTATTAATTTTGATGTTATACGATGTCTGTACTTCCTATCTTTTGTACTGCTGCTTCTCTCCTGGTCGTGTGTATCCTGTGTTGATTTGTTTATATCTGGCCCTTGGCTTATTGTTTGCCTTACTAGATTGTCATACTGCAGTAATAATTAAACCATGCCATTTGGCCATATTCTGAGCCAACTTAATCCAGCCCACATTTTCACAACCATTTTCCTGTGTACCTACATCTGCAGCATTTCATGTTTGCTGTTATGTAATGACGGTCTTTGGTGTTTTGTTGTACAGTATGTGCCAGAATATGCGGTACTGAAATGAAAAGACATAGCTGTGTCTATTCATACAACTGTCTATTCATGTGGAGGCCCCTTGCACAACAGAACTTTCTCAAATCCTGAAGAAACGGTCCGATCACCATGTCCCTGTAGCGTTCTTGGGTGACGGTAAGAGCATTGCCTTCCTCATCCTCGATGAAATATGGGCCCAATATACCGTGTGCTGAGAGAGCACACCATATCATCACATGTGTACTATGTAGTGGTTTCTGAATGATAACATCTGGCCGCTCAAAACCAAGGCAGCGAGTTGTCTGGCCACCAATTCTGTATGAACAGAAATAATACTCAACTATGAATACTTTTTCCTCAGTCAAGAGACCCATTTCCAACAACAACAACAGAACTTCCTTTTCACTGCTTGGAACATGTGCAGCTCGAGCTATGCCCCGTTGACAAACGCAAATGCGCGTTCGAGATGCGCGAGTTTCAGTACTGCATTTTTGGCACATACTGTAGTAGGGACCTTGGTGAGTCATGAATCTGTCTGCAGCTAATTTGTGTTCTTCCATTCTCACTCTCCATCGTAAGTCCCCTGAAAATTACCTGTCTTTTTCCCCAGTTCTCATGTCATTTGGCCATATTCTGAGCCAACTTAATCCAGTAAACATTTTCACAACCATTGTCCTGAGTACCTACATCTGCAGCATTTCACATTTGCTGTTATGTAATGACGGTATTTGATTCTTTGTTGTAGTAGGGACCCTGGTGAGCCATGACTCTGTCTGCAGCCAGTGTGTGCTTCCATTCTCACTCTCCATCTGCAAGTCCCCCAAAAATGGCCTGTCTTTTTCCCCAATTCTCAATGTTCTGTGTTCCCTCTTGCAAGGAAGACATATGCTGTCCCTGAAAAGGCCTGTCTTTTTCTTACAGTTTTACCTTTTCCTCCTTTGCAGGTAAAACTTAATGTGCCAGTGAAAAGGGCCATTTTCCTATGTACCATTCCCTTTTTGCCCCAGATGGGCTCCATTTCTTTATCCCCTGCCATGGATCTGAGTGACCTTACTTACAACCTGCTTCCTCACACTGCACACTTCAACCCTGAAGATGGAGACAACGTGTTCATGTGAAACGTTGGTATCTGCCTACAAGGGACGCATCATAGTCAGAAGACTGCAGTGTTACCACGCTTATTCTTGTTGTGTGTAATGTTCCCTAATATGGTCTGTGTTGATCTTCCCGGCCTCTTCCGACATGAACAAGGACACATATTTGTAAGGTGGAGACATCTGTGGCACAGAGCATGTTACTCGCAGCGATAACATGAACTTGAGAATGGTTGTAGGCAGATTGGACCTACAGGTTAACTTGGACCTGGAACAAGGGTGGCTGTTGTCCTTTACATTTGCATAGTTTCATCTTTGGCGTAGGTGGCTGCAGGCTTTGGCCTGTGAGCAGAGAAATCTGTGCACAACTGTGACTTAGGATCAGACCCAGAACCTTTTGAATGAGAATCGATTGTGGTACCCTGGCCACTAAATCCCCTGTACTTACTGTGCAGTTATTCTTGTCAGAGGAAAGTAGTTAGCAGCATGTGACCAAAATGTTGATGAAAAAACTTGGATATTAAAATTGGTTACAATTCTGTGTTTGGCCAGTCTTTCTTTCAGCATTTTGGCACAGGTGAGAGACTGTAGGAAGGACATGTTGGAGCAGGCACAGAAATGTTGCATTGCATAAGATATTCTCTCAAAGTATTGTTGTGCATGTAAATGATCTTTTGGCTGTAAATTGTTTCTGAATTTTAAGGCTTTGAGGAGCAGTTTGTGAACTGGTGGCAAATTGTGCAATTTTAAGATCGTGCCCACTTCGTCACTTACACTTACACACATGTGTAAGAACACAGATTACTTGTACTTGCATTCACATTTATGCATGTTATATTTTAGTGTCCTGTTGCACTGATTTAAGTCCATGATTTATTTAATCCGTCTTGCAGTGCATACACTCATTTATTTCCTTCTCTCCCTCGCACTACATGTTTCGGCATAATAATGCCATCTTCAGGTGCTTACTTATCCACGTCAAACCAGTTCATTGCATGCCATGTTCACACATTAAAATAACTAAAATATGTATCTATCATATACATTGTCAAACGTTAAAAATATTAAAATTGTTCAGGATACCACATCGCTACGTCGCCCCTCACTACGTCAGTCACGCCCATTCTCCTTTGTTGGAGCACTCCTTCACTATCTTGTGTGTTGTGCTTTTGTTGTGTCGTGCTCCTTCGACTGCATGTGTTATACTGTTCAAACATGTAGTGCGAGGGAGAGAAGGAAATAAATGAGTGTATGCACTGCAAGACGGATTAAATAAATCATGCACATTTATGCAGTTGAAAAGAAAGGAAATGTATAATTAGTTACTCAAAGCAGCATTCGTCAGATATTCTGGGAATGGTATGTGATGATCATTACTTTTACATGCTTCTGTGTGTACCATGAGACCAGTCAAACTTCATATACCATGTCTTGGTAAATATCTTAGTGTAAGCTTTTGTTGTCAAGAAAATGGTAAAGGTAATCTGAAAGGTGTATGCCATCAGCTTTCTCTTTTCACTTGAACACACACAAAGCATTTTGCTGAAATGGTAATGCTCCGACTTTTATTTGAGAAGTGCCTGGTATGTGGTTCAGTTCTTAGCCAGGATAACAACTGTCCTGCCTGAGATCCTTTTGTTGTCTTTAGTTCCTCCCGGCAGATGTCAGGTTAATACCATGAAATGGATGATGACACCTCCCGCGTTCTCTCCACTTAATTTATTGATCATCTTACTGTTCGATGCTGAATACAGTGAACCACACATTTCTGGTTTCTGTGGGAATTAATGGATATGAACACTCAACTGAGTAAATTTAATACTGAGAATATTGATGACTTGGGATTACTGAAATTGAACGTCGCACGTAAACGTATGTTTTCCCTCTTTTTTCAAGTCAGTTTCTGTTATTGTCAAAGGTGACCCAAGACAAGTTACATATTTCTCAGATCTGATACTTTGCTTAAGTGATAAAGTTACTCTTTCATGCTTGAAAATGTGTGAGTATCTGTGCATGAGTATGCTCTTGTCAGTTCGTATTGCCACAGGTTTCGGATTGATGAACAGATTTATTGGACTCTTTGATACAGTGCATAGTCATGTCTTCACTACCGCTACTCGCTAGTGACTTCCAACGGTGGAAGTTTCCCTTCCTCTGCGTTCCCAAACCGTCCCCGGCCCCAGATACCAGCTTCTCGCAGCAGCAGTTTACAGCAACTGAACCACAGCAGTACGCTAACCTACTGACTGACTACAACAGCTAACTGGCCCTGCTTATAACAGCACAGACCACGTGCTGTGGAAATATGCTTGTTTGCAGAGCCGTTACTTTGCAATGGCTGTTGTGTAGTTGCTTATTTTGCAGTCATTGCCTAGCAGCGGGTCCACATGCCGTAGTAAGCAAGAGTGTGTTACCTGACAGTAGTTGCATTTGCAGAGTGCTTGTAACGCAGACGGATAGGACCAATCGAGATTGCGACGGGACAACATTTGGTAGTCAGGAATTCATGAGAGGGGCAACACTGGGGAGTTGTTGCAACAATATGAGTATATGTATAATTCTATGATAACTTCACAGTTTTGGCAACTATTTTTGGCCATCATCCGGTCATACTAATACAGTCACTCTCAACTCTCTCTCTCTCTCTCTCTGTTGTTCCCCCTCCACTGGTCAGTGTTTATAACTGAGAAGGTTGTGTTGTTTACCGTGTAGGTTTTTAGTTGTAGATTTAAGCGAATACTCAAAATTATATAAACCTTTATCCTAATGTTGCGAAGGGTATGTGCTGTTCACAACAGACGTCTATAATTTTCCAAATTTTGCCTTAAAATTTTATATATATATTTTTTGTTGTTGTTGTAATTTTGTGATCAAATGCTGACTGGTTAGATTCCCGACAAAGGCAAGTGGAATTTTGTGTTCCCAGTATCCAGACCGGCTCCGACGCCCACCCAGCCTATCCTGTGCCGAGGTTAAGAATGCATGGAGCCAAGCCGAATTCATGGCTCGGTGCTTGACTTTAACACGTTTGCCTGTTAGTCACGAATAAGTCAGCAATTCTTTCGCTGTTACCAGTGAACGCGGACAGCGTCACTGCCAGTGATACTTCATGTAAACTGGCTCGTTCTTGTCTGTAGCAAGTGGCACAACATTCATTCAGACCCCCCACCCTCGCGCTTTTTGTGACCGCTGCTAGTATACGTCAGCCCGACCCCAAAACCAGGCAGTTGAAAATAAAGCGTACATTGTACTCCATATTGGGGTTATTGATCCTAAGAAGAATTATTATTCTGGAAACAGGAATAAAGAAATTGAGCAGGGATCTCCAGCCCGTTTGCCTTGCTACTGCTGGAAGTGATTTTGGGTGCCCACGAGAAATTTGAAATGTGTAGCGGCAAGTTTGCTGGTCGAGGCACAATGCTATAAACCGGGAGGTCGCGGATTCGATTACCAATGAGGTCATTGGATTTTTCAATTGACCTAATCCTTCGAGGCGCACTATGGCCCCGGGGTCGACTCAGAAATGAGTACCAGGAATATTCCTGGGGGTAAAGGGCTGCCGGCGCGTAAGGCTGACAACCTCACCGCCATCTGTGAGCCGATTGTCTAGAGAATGTGGGAACCTCAACGTCTCACAACCCTGTGGGCCTCCACGGCCTGTTAAAGGGACAATGGACAGCAGCTTTACATTTTAGCTGTCGCCCGTGTGGAGGCGGGTTACACCACCTCCACCGTAGCCCTGCGAGTCGTACTGACAACGGAAAGGGAACCCGGTGCCTGGGGGTATACCTGGACCACCCTGTCAGTGGGGGGTGTAAAAATGTATGATCTGTGTTTCCTACGGGGTGACGTAACAGCATCGAAATATATGAATATGAATGTTTCCAGATGTGTACGGTAACCATTGGCCTGTAAAGCGTTATGCTAATGTTGCAACAGAAGAGTACTGCCTTCTGGAATGTAACGTTTCGGAGAAACGCACCGCTTCCGTCTTCAGAGTTTAAGAGCAAGCTTCCGTCTTGCTGGTTGCTTCTTTGAGTTTTTACCCTGATGATGGAGGTATTACGTACCTTCGAAACGTCAGTGAATTTCTGCCAACGATACGGCGTAACATCTCAGAAGTTCGAGCTCCTCATAGTCACCGACGTAAGAACCTCGAACCTCGGTGGCTCTTCTGAGGTTTCCCGTTTTCTTCCTTTAAATCAGAGTTACTTAACCGGTGGTTCATATGCCACCAGTGGGTCCTCAGGTCTTGAAAATAAGAACTGATATTAATGACATATAATACAACGGTAAGAAAGTAGAGTTGTCCTTATACTTAACTAATTAAGCACTACGCCATGAAGGGGTGTGGGGGAGTGGAAGTATAAATCCACGTTTTCTTGACCTCGGCACTAGTTTGAGGTAAGTGGTTAGCTTCACGCTCCGGCCGTTTTATCCCCGGAAAAGAGCCTTCGGTACCCATTTGATAGGAGGCTGGATGTGTCCAAGAACCGGTCTTTTAAGCAGTGTTTACCTAGCCGTTGCCTAACAGTTGATCATATTTCATCACTAAATTATTTTCATTTTAAAAGTGATGAAGAGTGTTAGGTGTTGACAGAATTTCACTCTCATTACATTCAAAATTCTTAAAATATTTTAATATTCTTGTGGTCCGCCAAAGAAAAGTTACGCAGTAAGTGGTCCGTGGGCCAGAAAAAAGTTTTGTAGTCCCTGATCTACCGTGATCAGTAAAAATAGCCTTAAACGGCCTAAAGTAAGTTTGTAAGTAAAGTTTCTGGTGTCTCCTCCCCCTGTCGGCGCGGATGCTGTGGTGTTCCCCCCCCCCCAACCTTTGCAGAAACGCATCACACATGTGTGTTTCTCTGTTCCTTCTTATGGCTTGGCCACGTTGGTTATGTCTCTGTGATGTAACAGAACAAACGCCGATCAACATGTTTTTGCGTCCTGTCACTTGATGTCGCCATAAGCTAAAAGAAAACAGTGACACACATTTAAGGGGGGAAAGTTCAGCGGGTGATGACTTCAACATTCGAGTCCCACAGCCTAATTCTACTTGCTGTTCAGAACACGTGTTCATGCGCGAGCCAGGGATGGCCAACCGCACGCCTTGGGACCCGCGAGAAGTTCTACATATCTGATTCGGTAAATGCACAGTTGCTTGGAACTGTGTTTTAGTGGCCTTTGCAGTAAGCGGGGTTGATTTTGATGCGTTTAAACTGGGAAGACCTCCTCTGTGGTCTAGTGGTCAGAGCTTCTGGCTACAGATCCAGATTCCCGGCGCTAACAGATTTTCTGAGAAGTAGTGGATCTGGAACGGGGTCCACTCAGCCTGATAATTGAGGAGCTACTTGAATGGAAAAGTAGCGGCTCAGGTGTATAAAACCGACATTAACGTTGCGCTGACCACGCGACACCCTCTATCCGCTAAAGTTAGCATAACTTGGGGGACAAGCGGCGTTCGCTCGGTCGGTATGCGGACTAAAACCACGCGGTTTACCTTTTTTTAGTTAAATTTGGAAAGTTGAAGGAGAGAGAGGG